ATCTCGTAACGTTTTACTTTAGCAATAAATATGACTAGAAAATCGATTCTAATTTCTGAATGCATGCCTCGTTTTCCTTGGAAAACAAACCTATGAAGTTGAGACGTTTGAGAAAAAAAAGTCTATACCCATATATCACTATCTTAGCCTCCAGAAAGTGCAATAAATTTACAGCAGCTTGCTTGGAAGCGAGTAAAATTTTGATGGTCACTTTGGCTATACTGTCGTCTCCGCTGAATCGGTATCGCCAGTTTACAACTGTATGGGGAAGAGAAACTGTTGTTTATGCTCCTAACTTTAAATACGGGCCAAGTGATAACCGACCTAATTAATAGGCCTAATATAAATGGCTCAAATGCTGCCCACGGAAAACAGCACCATTGAACTTCTAATATATAATTTCATTTGATTGAATAAATTAAAAATTTAACGAATTGTGTGGACTAAAAAATTTATTTTTTAACTTTATCACTTAATGCTTGATTAGGTAGGTATGTTACTTAAAAGTATTACTTTTATGTTTGTTACATCTTATTTCAGTTTACGCATATAATATCTATTACAAGAGATTATTTTAAAATTGTATCCTCCAAACCCGAACAAAATGTAAAAAATATGATTCTGTTATATACATATCTGAATTTTAGTTAGGACTGTAGCAAGATGCACATGCTTTTCTTCCGAATTTCAAGTTCGTGTCTGAATTTTTTAAGCAGATTGTGTACACCTTGCACAAAATAAGGGGGGGGGACAGCTCTATATCTCCCGTTCTACTGGGCCGATTGGCGAAATTTAACTTGCATTTTTCGTGTCTAAGCGCGACTTAGGATATATATTAGCTTTATATACAGCATTTTTCTAACATACGTATTTTGACACAAAAGTGGATTTTTTTCTCTGAAATGATATACCTGTTTCTTCCATATTTCGATTCTACGACTCAAATTATGCCAAAGCGACAAGTTTTGTAAAAATCGTGGGAGTAGTTTATAAAAAGTTAACTGAGAAAAGTGCTCGAAGACGAATTTTAAAATTTCTCGGTAATTTTCTCATCAAATTTTACAAAGTTTAATATTTAGGCATAATTTGAGACGTAGAATTAAAATATGGAAAAAAAATAGTTATGTCACTTCAGAAAAAGCCCGATTTTGTGTCTAAATACCTATGTTAGAACACTCCCACATAGAAATCTAATATATATCCTAAGTCGAGACGTGAAAAACGCAAGTTAAATTTCGTCAATCGATGCAGTAGAAGGGAGATATAGAATTGCTTTTTTTTTTTTTTTTTTTTTTTTTTTTTTTTTTTTTTTTTTGTGCAAAGTGTACATAAACAGGTGAACATCGCGTTTGATTAGCCGAAAATAAATTATTTACACTACAAGAGCCTCTGGGAACATGGTGATAATAGAATTTTTTTTCTGCATTTTTAGTATTTAAATCACTGTTTGTCGATTGATTACTAATTAAACTACAACGAAAGTAAATTTAACAAAACAAAAGAAAATAAGTAACTGACAAAAACTCGCCGGATAAAACAAATGTAAATATTTTATAATATTTCAACTGAAGAAGATATCTGTCGATCTCGTTTATAAGACGTAGATTACGTCTCCTGAAGATTATTGTCTCCAGAGTTAGCGTTGATGCTGCAGAAGTATATGACACAATGGGCAACTTCTAAAATGTACGCCAGTCATTTCCTTTTCGTTGTGTTGCATGTACTGCAGTTGGTGATCGTTCGTTTGAACAATTTTTGTAACTATCAAACATTATTTCATATAAGTATTCGTGACTAAAACGACTTTTCTCTCTACCTGGTCTTCGTAGCACTTGTTCGTCTTGTTTCCATGTTCACATTTCATATTCAGCCACCACTCTAGGTTATCTGTTCACAGCTACATTAATAGCGATGCTTCAGTCTCTCGGTGATGATGTCAGTCATTTCAATCATCATTTTTTAAAATTGTCATATGAAGTCGGCTGGAATTCTGAGGTGGTCTTTAGAACGTCCTACACTCGGTCAACTGAATTGATTCGGAAATCTGAGCCGATGAGCCCATGTTTACAGTGGTCTGCTCTTGAAGGTATTATTTCGTTAATCAAATTTGGTACATAATATTTCTCACACTGGATCTTTATAGTTTCCAGATATCATCTTTACTTTCTCGAAACCTGAGATTTCCATTTGTCAGTACTCAAAGATATGCGCATTCTTCTAAAAGTTCCCATATACCACAATCATTACAGTAGCTGTAAAGATGTATGCATATCGCCAGATGTTGCAAAGTCAACATGTGGACATTTTCAGGAAAAACATGTAGTTTCATTAACCTTCAATCTAGTTTACATCCAAGTTCAACTTTTCTGTCTAACAGTGCCTTTATGAGACATGCTTATATAGGCACATATAACCACAGGCTTATATAGTAGACACTTCAGTCTTGAAATTTTGTCGCTTAATATAGAAATTGATATATTTCCAATAGTAGAGTAAATCGTAATCGAATGTACGATAAGCATACGCACTATCGTGTTTTGAAGTTATTCGCACATATAAGGCTTGCGCAGAGGCTGGAAGCGTACTATTCGGTTTCGAGGGCTTTAAAAAATTGCAGCGAAAATGTACGCGCCAAAGCGCCAAATCTAGGGTACGCGCTGATTTCAGATTGCGTAAGTTTATATAGTTTTATATTTCTTAAGACGCCATTGAAATACTAGTTTAATTTTTAAATTCTTTTTTGATTTTAAATCCTTCTTTGATATCCTATGGATTTAACAATTTGGGAATTGCCCATGACGAAAAGTGGGCAATAGAATTTTGGGTAAAGTGCAGAATCACCTACTGCTTGACGCGTTTTTAAGAATCGCACATACTCAGTATCCATGTGCACATCGACCTACTTAAAAAAAAAAAAAAAAAAAAAAAAAAAAAAAAAAAAAAACCTAGAATTGCACAAAAATAGCACTGCGCACATCCTTGACTTTATCTATGTACACATCGACCTATTTTCACTTAAAAAATAAAAGAAAATTGACAAAAATCCAATTGTTTTTACTCTTGTAAAAAGTGGCAAACAAATAAGTGAGCGATTCTGCACTTTACCGAGAATATTTTCAAAGAAAAGGCATCATTCATTTTAGAAAATTACGTTTGAACAACCAACGAGATGAAATTATGCTTTAGCGATAAGTCGGTAGCTAAATAGCGATGTAGGCATCCATTCAGTTATGTTTAGCAATTTTTATATAATTTATAATATTGATCTGAAATAGTTATTGACTCTTATGCTTCAGTCATGTTTAGCCTTTTTCATATAAATTATAATAATAAAAAAGTATTATATGAAATTAACCTTTCATCTAAATTAACACATCAATCTTAAATAGTTATTTACTATTATACTTCCTTTCTTGACGCAATTATTAGGGTTGCCGCAATTATTTCTCGCAGCATTGACATCAACAATAGTTTGGCGATTTTTTACGGCCCTCGAAACCGAATAGTACCGCTGGAAGTTTTTGCTTCTAAGGAAATTTTAGAATTTGACAGAAATTTTAGAATGAAGAAGCCATACTTCAACATAACGCGAAAATAGAAAGTTGTCAGTTTTCTATTGTGTTGTGTCTGACTTTGGCATGCCTCTAATCAATGGCACTCTATCGCTATTCGTTTAGCAAATCTACGTCTTGGTGAGTGGAAGCCCTTGGTTTTTTCTTCCGAAATGCTGTTTCGCATTTATTTCTTAATATTTAATACAGGATATAATGGTTCATTTCAAAGTTCATTTTATGATGCTGCTGGCTTTCGTAAATTGATGCAATCTAAATTAAATTGTGTATTGCGTAATGATCTAATGATATCACATACGTTTAAGGTCTATATAACGGAATCTGATGAAAATAACATAATTATTGAGCAAGTTATCTTCGATTCTTCTTTAATGCGAAACAGTATAATCGCTATAGCTAAATTAAATATTATAACGCATATGGAAATTAAATTTCCTGAAAATTGTCTTTGTAAGGAATCCCAGTGCATTGACTGAAAACTTACTTCTTCCATTTCCACCAATTGGAATGACACGAATGGTGGTCATTCATCTTGGATTTTTATTCCCATGAGGTTAAATGGGCTGACTATCGGAGAAGAAAATAGCGTGTGCACCGTTTTCTCTATGCATGCAACAGAAATATCAGTTAATTCTTTACAGAAATTTTTCCATACGTGAAAGCATTTTTGCTGAGGTAGATAGTTCTCGAATACTGTATCATAATAAATTAACTTTTGTTCATCTCTGCAGAAATGTACGTACTAACATTACTTCACTCGGATGCTGAGAAGTGTAACACTTAGCCAGCCGGTTTCTGGATATGCTTGGCTTGGAATTAAGCAGTGAATTGCTTTGTTCTACTGCATTAGTAGTTAGTTCCATTTGAACAGCCTTAAAAAAAAATCTATTAATGCAGAATCTTGAATTTTAATCTTATAGCTTTCAGTACGCTTTTCTTGAATCATATTATTCTGTTTTCTTCTCATTCTCTGTTCATCGACTGCAGTTTTAAATTTTTATAACTGATGGTTTAACTTTATAATTTGAGATAATCTCCGTATTCGAGATTCTTTTCTTTTTTAGTGTATAATTCTCAATAATGTTAACGAACGGGTTATAACACAATCTATAATCGCATTATAACAAATAGGAGGACGTCTTTGAACTTGTGTTTCCTGTTTATAAACGCTGTCGACTTTTACTACTGCCCATGCTATGAACCAAAACAAATGTAGTTGTATAGAGTTAAGAAGATTAGGGACTGGTTTTAAAAAGCGAATTGTGTTTCACCATGCACAAATGGTTTGTAATTGAGCGCTTAATACGTGCTGGTTTCGGGGAATTATTTGAAGGCTGCTGGGTAGCCTTGAATGATTGCAATCTGTTATGACAATAGATTTAGCTGTCACTCACCCTATTCTTTTGGCATTTTACAAAGATTTGTTGGCAGGTTTGTTTCAGAATTTGTTAAGGTGCTGCAAGCCACGACTTTTATTCGCTGTGTTCTTTACAAATTTATACATTTCTCAGAAATGCATACGATCCTTAAGGTCTGTGGGAATGGTCAGCTTGCATACGAGAACGGGAAAGTTTGGTAAGTTCTAGCGTTGTTTTACTTGATACAGAATTGTGTGAACGATTATTTCATGTGTAATATTGAATAAGTCTAAAATCTAAACGAACTATTTTTGCCATTTCTGTTAAGGCATGTATATATTTCTCAAAATAATGCTGTGAAGAGTTTCAAATAAAAAAACTGCCTATGTCATGCTTTTGCAAGTAGGATATATATTTTGCAAAAATATATATTCTATTTCTACGAGAACTTTAGAAGTTCAACTGTAATTAAAATTCCTGAAGTTTCTTGTATTAAAAATTACTTAAATAAATAAGAAAATTTAACTAGAGCGAAATTTCACGGAATTTAACTCATAATTAATCCTAAAGATTAGTTTTCGTGATTTAAGTAGCATATATAATAATCTAAAAATAGCTCACGGGAATACATGACATATGGAAATAATAATAATAGATGTTTCCTAAAATTTAGACTTTTTGTTCTGTTACCATAGAACAAGGATTCCAAACTTTTTTTTTTTCGCATCGAATGATTTTCTTCATCGACACCCTTACATTTTTCTCTAATGTACAGCATGTAATAATAGAATATAATAATAGAAATAATTTCGCACAAATAACTTAAACATAACAATTAGATTAAGAATGTGAACACATTTTTCGGAAAAAAAATGGTTTATTAGACTTAAGCTTTATAATTTTTTGTATTATTGTTTTTAATTTTATTAATATAAACAGTTTCCAGAAATAAAATTGCATATTTTAATAGCACCGAAAGTTTGATTTTAATGAATGCGATGGTTGCGCTGTATTGACGCTACTTTTTATGTTATTATTTGGCGTAAAATTACTTAATTTAATTTTAAAATTATCTCTTTCAAAATATTCAACCCATTACTTGTTTTCCATTCTAATTTGTGTTCTTCGTATTTTTTTAATGGTATATTCTTGTGTTCTGGCGTTTTTCTTTCCTTTTAAATTGCACTTATTACTTAAAAAATTATGTTTTTTTTTTAAATGTTATTGATTTCGAAAATATATAGAATAACTTTTAATGTGTTTTTTCACTTATATTTTTTTATGATTTCTTCTTACTACATGATACAGCTTGATATCAATAAATAATTATAAATTATTTATTGAGGATTTTTTTAATCAACGAGATCTTGATCATGCTAATCGATTGGCAGTGCATACTCGGCTATCTGACCCAACGACTTCCTCGTTGATCTGACCGTAATTGACAATCGACTCCCCGATCTTCATAGACATCCTTTAAACTTTAATCGACTCTCAGGTGGTCCATACTGACCTCGTTGAGAACTCCTGACATAGACTGTTCTTAAAATTTACGACATACTATTTTTAAAAAGATCTATTTATTGTTATTTGGCACTATAAAACGATTTATTGTCATTTCCTGAATACTGAATTTTAAGTATAATTTTACTACAATATTTCAGAAAGGAATAACCAATCCTAAAATGTCATTTCAAAGCTTTTATTGTCGCTCTGTTTAAACTTAATACGTTATTTCTTCTTCTTCTGACTGATTTTAATCAGATCAAATCTGAATCAGACTTATGGATCTGAATCAGTCATGTATCTGAATCAGATCAGATCCATATGTTTATTCGCCTTCATAACTTCCAACACGAAATTATGTTTCTTCATCAGATTTTTCGCACACCAAGGCAACACAACCAAGTAGATGTAGCGCAGTAGCTTCAAGGTTTTTACATTTGGGTCCAAGTTGGACATGTTTCAGTACCACGGGAATATCTGAGGGTCTTTAAATGTCCTGCAGTCAACCGAGCTAGAGCCATTCGGTCCTTATTGTCACCCATGAAATCAATAGCAGTACCAGAACCTGCATTACGATACCATGAGCTGTTTCCAAGAACTGTGAAAGCCTTTCTTCTCGATACGTTATTTAACATCTGCATCTAAGTTACTGCGATAAATGTAATAAACTCGAATTTTTGTAAATCAGAGTCATTGATTTAGTATTGATCTGGAATAGTATATTCCTCCAAATTTTGCAATTCAGTGTTTTCTGATCTCATAACTTCATTATTCTGATCCCATTAACTAATGCATTCTCACAATATATGAAGTTCCGGAATTTGACTCGATGTGCCAAGAAACAAAATATGTTTATTCCTACATTTATTTCAGTTTTATAATAGCATTTCTAACTATGCGATATCTTTTTTTTTTTTTTTTTTTTTTTTACCTCATTTGTTACTAAGTTGCTTTAAATATCATCTTTTCTTTTGGCAATGGATGAAGAAATTTTATCCCAGTCTGATAAAAATCACTCGTTCCCGATAGTTTGATCTTATCCACCTAGATTATAACAATAATCTTGCTTCATTACTGCAGTGAGTAATATCTTACAGTTGTATTTAACATTTCTTTAGGAGTTTTAAAAATAAGATCAGAATCATATGCATGATTTTACTTTACATCTTTCTGGTTTGAAACTTGTGCGCGCATTGCATTCAGGTCACTATTATTATAGTACTATTAAGATCAAACCATCTTGCTTTAAATGGAAGGAAAGTTTAAAATGGAAAAATGTTTTAGAACATTAAAAATAATGTAATCAAGCGTTAAAGTAGCTTCGACTAAATTTTAAATTGCTTAAATTAATCTGCTATTTCCAAAGACCAAGAAGAAAATAATAATAATAATAATTAAAATAAGCGAAAAATTATAAATTAAAGTAAAAATAAAATCAGTATATTTTCACAAAGCCAATTAATTTAAGTTGAACCGAATTTCAGTTGCTTTAACTAAAAAGTATATAATTCATTTCAACTAAAAGGTGTTACATTATTATTTTAAAAATAGCATTAATTTCTTAATAGTGAATCTCGAAATAAAACTTGGAGCATTTGTAATACACTCTCAGACAAAAAAAAAAAAAAAAAAAAAAAAAAAAAAAAGACACATTACGACGCACCGAGAAGACATAAAACAAATTGGACACAAATTGATATGCATACAGGTTTCGACGGAAAATGCAAAATTTTACATTTTGGCTGCCAATGAATGAACGGTTGTCTTTACAGCGCATCTGACCTGCGCAACTGGCAGGATATTTAAGAGGAGAAATTACGATTCTAGGTCATAAATTCTTCACGAATTTCATTCCGTGTACTCTGGTACACAATAATTATGCCTCGCATACAGGTGCGCGAATGATATGCGCAGATATCAGAATTTGAGAAAGGTCGTGTAGTTGCTGTCAAAGAAGCCGGTTGGTCTTACGGCGAACAGCTCGATGTTTGAGTAGGAGCGATGCCACCATTAGACGATGTTGGCAGCAATGGGTGAATCATGGCCGCACACAGCGTCAAGAAGGAAGCGGTAGGCCTAGAGAAACGACAGAACCTGAAGACCGAGCAATGGTCAGAGCGGCACTCATAGCCCCAGATGCATCATTATCATCGACTGTACGTGCAACTAGTGCTTCAGTGACCGCAAGGACCATTCATAGACGGCTCAAAAGGGAGCTGAGTCTCGGCGCCGACTACCATTAACCTCTGTACAACGTCAAGCCCGTTTGCAGTGGTGTCGGGCTCATTCGCAGTGGAATGCCACTGACTGGAGTAGAATAGTTTTCAGTGATAAGTCCCGCTTTGAACTGAGCCCCGATGACCAGCTAAGATAAGTCTGGAGACGCCCCGGACAGCGGTGTGATACCAACCTGACTGTCTTTCGGCAGACAGGCCGACATCCAGGAGTGATGGTGTGGGGTGCCATTTCATTTCATAGTAGGACCCCTTTGGCTGTCATCCGTCGCAACCTTACAGCACAGCGGTAGGTCGACGAAGTTCTAAGGCCCTTTCATGTCACGCCACCCTGGGCTTACATTTCAGCAAGATAATGCCCGCCCCCACACTGCAAATGTTCCTACTGCTTGCCTTAGTGCTTGCCGAACATTACCTTGGCCAGCAAGGTCGCCGGATCTCACTCCTATTGAGCACTTTTTGACCATTATGGGCAGTGCCCTCGAACTAGCTCGGGATGTTGACGATCTGACGCGCCCGTTGGACAGAATTTGGCACGATATCCCTCAGGAGGACATCCGCAACCTCTATCAATCAATGCCAAGCCGAATAACTGCTTGCATAAGGGCCAGAGGTGGACAAACGCGTTACTGACTTTTTCATTTTGTGAAACCCTATCACTTCAATAAGTCATCCAATTTTTCTCAAATAGTAATCATTTGTTTTTCTGTACATGTACATCATTTCTACTGGTTTCGTCCCATTCGGATAACTCCTTCTTGGTGCGTCGTTTATTTTATTATTTACTAGGTGTACCCGCCCGGCGTTGCCCGTGCATTTAGAAAATGCAGATAAGTGAATAGCGCAGGAATAGTAGTGTAGGACATGTAGACTGTCTCTCTCTCTTCCCCCCCCCACAAGCTACAAAAAAGAAATGAATTGTAATTAATCGATTTAATGTATCGTCAAAACAGCAAACTAACGCTAGAATAAGAAATCAATTGTTACAATCGAACGTTATTTGAAAACAAATAATAATATCAGTGAGTCAAAAAAAACCGTGATTAATTAATTATAAATAATTTTTTTAAATTTTTCTAATTCAAAAATCGAAAATCGGGCTTCGAGGTCTGGTGGCCAGCCCCTTTGTGCTTCCGTATAAAAAATTCCAGGTCCCTGCGTGCGATAGATTTGGCTGGAGAGCTCGGTCAGACAGACAGACAGACACATTACACTTGCTTTTATTATTATAAGATTTATTTTTTGTCTAAGAGTGTAGATAAATGCTCTTAATAATTTATAAAAAAATTTCCATGAAGAGAGAACCAGTATAGAGAAAAGAGAGAGAGAGAAAAAAATCACGCCGTTCACATTTTAAAAGACAATAAAGCTTAACAAAGCAAAGTTTACTGTTCAATGGTCACATCTTTAAATGCCTAGCTCTTTCGACAAAGAGTTACGAAAGAAAAATTGGATATGCTAGATTAGTGGTGCGCAA